TTTTGGATTAAAATTAAAGAAGAATTCTTCCTGGTAAACAGAGTTGATTGTTATTAATAGCATAGCTACTTATTTGTGTGAACCAGAATTTTTAGTCAACACAACTAAAAGTATGAGAAGAAATAGTCATTAATGCATGAACCATCACAGTCTTGCGCATAGCTTCGTCCCCATGCCCTCAGCCTGGAATGAATTTAGGAACACATAGTTCCTGCCTGTGCCAACTAATAAGGTTGTATTTAACTATTATACTTAATAGTAAGTATTGTTTCATATGTAAAAATTTTGTTTCAGGTCTTTAAACAACCTATACTGTATACTGATAATGCCACCCCCCTCCCAGCCAGGATACTTCGGTTTCTCAGTTGCCCAGGTAATAGCTCCTGTTCCAGCTCCGGTTGCTTCTGTCTCCTAGAAACGGCTGGTCCCTATGCTGCACAGCTGGTCACTGTGATGCACATTGTGTAAACCAATCCCCAATTGCCAAGCCATTCTGCCTCTGTACTTCCTGCTTGCTTATCCCATCTAAACCCTAGGCCACCAGAGATCAGGGCCTGATATTCTGGGAATGATTCCATCAGTTGCCTTCGACGTAAAATAAATCTGCCTTCAAATCCTGGGTGCTGTTTGGTGCTTCTGCTCACCATTGCAGTACATGTATGTATACGTATATTACATAGCAACTAGAGAGTAAGGCATGTTTTCTATTGGGAGCTGCAGAACGGCAGTGAAAAGGTATTTGTTTCCTTTCCTCCTTTCATGAGTGGGTTGTTTATACACGTGATTCTGCCTGCTCTTAATCCAAAGCAGCCAGGCTCCGCCTGCCTTGCTCTCCAGGAACAGGCTTCCCTAGATCCTTAACTCTCCTCTCTATCTCTTCAGTTCTTTCTCATGCCTATCTCTGTCCTTTGTGAAGCTGCTGGCGTTACTGCCTACTTTGGTTCCATCTTGTGCTATCTTTAAAACTAGCACTGCTGTGATTATAAAAGCAAAAATGTTGGGCTGGGGGTTTAGCTCAGGGGCAAAGTGCCTGCCTGGCAAGCGCAAGGTCATGAGTTCGATTCCCAGTACCGGAGGAAAAACAAAAATAAAAAAGCAAAAATGTTTAATGAAAAACAGACTTAGCTACAGACTCATCAGAGCATCCCTATTAATGGTTTAGGTGTATCTCACAGAACACACACACATACTATCTAAATAATACAACTGGAATCTTTTAGTGTACAAACGTACGTAGCATTGTAGAGTTTGTTCATCTACTTCAGCGATATAGCGGGAACCCTTCTGTCACTCAGTCTTCCTCTCCTACATCCTCTGAAAGGCTGTGTAGGTGGCTGCCCTCTAGGCCACAAGTTCTCTCCCCATCCTCGATGTTGTTGGTCATGTGGGATATTTTTCATGATTTTTTCTATTGTAGAAAGACACACTGAAATCCATGTACAAACATCTTTATTCATCGCCATATCCCTTCCTTAGGGTGAATTCCCAGAGGGGGACTGTAGGGGTCAGAGGTGTACCCGTGTTGAACACATATCCACATTTCCTCCAGGAATCCGGTACCAAGCTACACACCCACCAAGTCCAAGACACCAGAGGGCCTGCTTGCTGGCTTTCTCCTGGCACTGAGCAATAGCACTGAAAATCTCTTAGTCAATGTGATTAATGAAAATATGTAGCATCTCACTTAAAGGTCTGTGTTCTTTTGATTAGCAGGCGCTTGAATAGTTTTGTAGGTGGATGATATTTCTTTTTCTGTGACCTGACGACATAGTCATTCCCACTTTTCTTTTTAGAGTAGGCATCTGTTTTTATTTTAACACTTTAGAAAAGCTTTTTTTTTTAAAAAAAGCCATTCTAACATTTTATCTCTGCCATCATTACCAACATTTTCCCAACAAAATAAATTGTGGTTTTAAAAGTTAGAGTTTCTCTTTTTCTTCCTTTAATTCACCTTTCAGTATATTGGCTGCTTCTTAATTTTATATGGAACTTTGACTTACAGGATTTTAAAAAATCAAATATGGGCTGGGGATATAGCTCAGTGCCTGGCAAGTGTGAGGTGCTGAGTTTGATTCCTGGTGCAAAAAAAAAATTCAAAAATTTTAAAAATCAAATAGTCAAAGCATTTTTTCCAGTCCCTGGCTTAGCTGGTTTGGTAGAAATCTTCATACCCTAAGTGTATTCATTTAACATTTTCTTGTAGCCTTTTTATGGTTTAATCCTTAAATCTAACTCTTTTAAACTCTAACCCTTTAGTTCATTTGTAATTTTTTTTTGACATATGGTATAGTCGCAATGGATATATTTTTTCCAAAAAGAGTTGTTTTTATTTTTTGGTAGACATTGACAAAATTTTGAAGCCTGTGTACCAGGTACTAACGGACCATGATTTTTTTTTTTAAAAAATTAATTTTTATTAGTACATAATAATTTTAATTCTTTTTTTCATCCTCTTCCCCATTCCCCCAATCTCTTGGTCTCCTTCCATTAGTAAATAGCTAATGATATGGTCTAACATAAGTAATTATCGGGCTAGGGATACAGTTCAGTGTGTAAGTGCTCGCCTCCCTGGTTTGGCCCCTATAACTCCAATATATACATCTGCTGCAGGGTTTTTGACATTTTCTTATCACTGGAAATCTTCCTTCAAGCAATGGCTTCATTTCAGTACGTGGCTGATGGGTCCAAGGCTCCTTGGGAAGTGGGACTTTGCAAGTTTCGCCTCCCCTGGGCTGAGAGGGCTTAAGGGCCATCCAGGACGAGCCACCGGCTGGCACTGGCCGAGGACGCTCCCTCTTCTGGCTGACCTCCTGCGCCTCCCATTTCTCTCCTCTGTAGCTACTTGCTCCCCTGCCTGTCATTTGGGTTTTAGGGATTCCCCGGCACTCTCCCTGGCATCTTGCAGTAACCAAACCCTTAGCACTGACAAGTACCCTTATGCCCACCACAATCCCACATCCTGAGTTCCTGTCCCAGAGTAAAACACGCTCCATATTTTATCGTATCAGTCTGACCCCGTTCAAAACTGAGATCATACATGTGCTCCTTTAACTTACAAAATGAAGTCATTGTCCTCCCCATTTCCTGAACAAGCAACCGGAAAGTCACCCCATAAACCACCACCCCTCTCCAATTCAGTCCTCCAATCCTCCCGTTTCTACTTCCTCGGTGTCTGTTACACTGTCTTCTATTCCCTCCCACCTATCCCAGGCCTCACTGCCTTTCTGCTGTCTGGGCTGCGGCTCACCTCCCCTCTGCAGCGCGCATTGCTCACCACCACTAGCTACACAGAAAACTCAGGCGGCCAGGCGCAGTGTCAGGTGCTTGGAATCCCAGCACTCAGGAGAGTCCTAGATTCGAGGTCAGGCTGGGCTACACAGTGAGACTCTATTTCAAAACGCACACGCACACACATTTGGTTTAAAGTCCCTCCTAAATGGGCTTCTTAACCCCATTCTTAATTTCACATAGAACGGCTTTAAAATCCCAATCACAGCTTTCAGGACAACGGCAGTCAAGCCCGGGCCTCGCTCTTCCAGCCTGAGGCTGGAACACCCGCGCTCCCGCAGTTTGCGGTCTAGCCCCAGACCGCCTCACCCGGGCCCTCCTGCCTGCCCACCACGCTGCGGGCCCTGGCCCCAGCGCACCTGTGCGCCCCTCTTGTCCCAGGGAGAGGGTTCAGCGCGAGGCAGCTCGGGGGAGCACAGCGATGTTTAAAGAGGCTCTGGATTCAGGACGCGTTCGAGGGACAGCTCGTCTAGGTGGGAGAAGTCATGCAGCTCCCTGGGCCTGGTTACCTCGGGGGCACCGAGGACACCGAGCTCGGTGCCCACGCCGGGGCCGGATGCTCGAGGACTGTAAGCTCTCTGCGAGCAAGGGCGCCACGGAGTCGCCTTGGGGGCGCGGGCCCGAGCCTGGCCCAGGGCTTGTGCACCAGTTAGAGGACGCGGGAGTCTTCGGGATCCCGCGGGGCCGCCCCAAGTGCGCCCGCGGCGGCCGTGCAGGTGGCGGAGGACAGCGCCGCGCCCGGACGTCCCGAGTCGCCTCCACCCCG